CGTAAGAATGGCAATCGATCATTCATGACTTCTACTCCTACATTCCTAACTAAAATCTAATCTAAACTAAATAGAACTTTCTTCATTTTGAAACTAACTTGGTGTCACTATTCCTTTCTTACTTCTGTTAGAAAGAGACATTCACTCGAAGCAACAAAAGAGACCTCGTTTAGGCAAGATGAGGAGCGCTCTGAATTTACACACTTGCATTCACAAAATGTGGAGCTTGGAAAACCCTAAACCCTCTACGCTAATTGAATCACCAAAGGCTTCCTTAATCAAAAAGCTATTTTTGGCATAAGTTTTTCCCAAATGTATAGGATTGTGTTCCCTCTCTCTCCTCTCTCGCTCGCCTGTCGTGTGTGTGAGAGAAATTTCCCAAAGGTTCTGGTGGCGTCTTCCCCCACAAGGCCACACTCTGTCAGATCAGTGGACTCCACCTTCTCATGAGCTCTCTCCTGAGCCATCAGATCCTTCTCTCGCCAAAAGGCTGCCTCCTCACTCTCGTGAGTGATGGTTGGACTACTGTATCACAGTCATTGATGAAGCGGCTACAACCTAAGGCATAAATTCCTAAACTCGCTAGAGCACAATTAGCAAAATCACAAAAGTACAGTCAATGTCTAAAATAATCTGGTTTCATTAGACACCTAAATGTGTGTGAGAAGATTAATCTCATAAAATTCTAAGAAATATTTAAAATATTACTATATCTTGAAACATGTTAAAAATTATATTTATTAATATAAAAAACACATTAATAATATCATAGAAATGTAAAATTAACCAAGTTAAGGTATATTCCAACACATTATTCATGTGTTACCATACCCCCGAACTTCTCTCATTGCTAGTCCCTTAGTAATGAATTAAGAATGATTGTGTTGCTATGATTTTGTTACGTTCATCTTCATCATTATCTCCATAATTATGAACCTGTACTTCACAAAATTCAAAGAAAAACTAACTCATTTCATATTTAGACATCTCTAAGTTTTGATTAGATAGAGATTAGAACCTCCATACTTCTATTTCTCACTAGTTTACTTTGTCTCAAGACTAACTTTTGTTTTTTGAATCCTTGTCATGCTTAACTTATATGCACAAAAGTTTGACTTGTAGTTCTGATGTGACTTAGTCGTTGTATATTAAATCATGTAAATTTAAAATTTATAAAACTAGAAAATACGAATTTTTGAATATTTAGAAGTACTTTTGAACAAATATATCTATTATAATTCAATACTACTTCTAAAAATAGTGATAATTTTCCAGGTCGATCATAAGGATATAATATAATATCAGGTAATTATTCAGAATTTTCCTCAAATAATATAATTTTCTATGAATTTTATATTAGGAAATGAAAATGAAATATATTTAAAATTCACAAAAAATGAAAATAAGGGTGCAGATGTCAAGATGACATCAGCGCCCAGCGAACAAGAATTGGGTGAAAATAGAATTCCATCTGGTGATTGATTCTTACGTAAGTGATTACAGATGATTTAATTGATCAAATTAAGATCTGTAAAAGCCAGACGAATCGTAATTGAATGAAGTATATCTTGGTAAATTTAAATCACACAAATTATCACTAAATGAAGCAAAAATTAAGTTGAAAGTAGGAAAACAATATTCTGACGTCGCGGCGGCGATGCATTAATAATGTACCGGAATCTTGAACATTCGGAGGATCGTAATGTAGTGTCCATGGCCTCAAAGGCTCTCTTTGGACAAGGACAACGTGAACAATCTCTAGATCTCCTAGCAAAGTCTAAAGATCAATGAAATGGGTCACTGAATCGTATCCGGCGACTAGCACCTGACAAAGCGGAAAAACAATGACTTTACAATTCTTCAGTGGCTGTCACCCGACGAAGAAGAGCTAGATGGAGGTGGGGCACATGTTAGGGAGCTTTATCCTCAAGTCCACATAGTAAGAGGAAGCTCTTCATAGCATCCGGTACGCTCTCAAGAGGTGACAACTCGTCTCTCAGCAGATCGTCCTCTTCTCGATGATGACTTGTTCATCGATCAATTGGAGATGCTTTACTTGATGGATTCGTGATCCTTTTATTGCGAATCATTCAACAATTTTAGTAACAATGCTCTACGAATTGCGTTGACGAGATTTTTGCCAATGATCTAATGATTCTGGCGGCTTAATCTTTCACTGGTGATCTACAGGAAAGCCGTGATAATTAGATAAAAAATATGAGTTTTGGCTCTAGGAGAATTCAAAATCCATACTAGTTGCCTGCTTGTATGAAAGAGATTGACATAAGTACTCTAATATCCTTATCAAATGACATCATCATAGTATATCTCTATTATAAATAAGGGGTATTGTAGGTATTAAAATCATCAAAGTCTTCTGAGGAAGGTGTGATGCAAGTTTAATCCCACATCACTTGTGCGCCAAAGTTTCGAGCGAATATATAGTAATATTATATTTACAAGTAAGTCCCTTTCTCTTGCGTGTATAATCACTTCTTGCCCTATAGTCGGCTGGCCACCGGCGACGTGAAAGGGGAGTGGCGCACACATGCCCTTATCAGTACTAACCGCTCGAGCCCCTGCTCGCGGCTCCTCCCTAATTATGCAAATCATTCAGTAATTTTAGTAACAATGCTCCGCGAATCGCGTTGACGAGATTTTTGCTGATGATCCAGTGATTCTGGCGGCTTAATCCTTCACTGGCGATCTGCAAGAAAGTCGCAATAATCAGATAAAAAATATGAGTTTTGGCTCTAGGAGAATTCGAACCCGTGTTAGTTGTCCACTTGCATGAGAGAGATTGACATAAGTATTCTAATGCCCTTATCAAATGACATCATCATGGTATATCTCTATTATAAATAAAGGGTATTGTAGGTATTAAAATCATCAAAGCCTTTTGAGGAAGGTGTGATGCAAGTTTAGTCTCACATCACTTGTGTGCCAAAGTTTTGAGCGAATATATAGTAATATTATATTTGCAAGTAAGTCTCTTTCTCCTACGTGTACAACCACTCCGTGCCCTATAGTCGGCTGGCCACTGATGACGTGAAAGGGGAGTGGCGCACACATGCCCTTATCAGTCCTAACCGCTCGAGCCCCTACTCGCGGCTCCTCCTTAACTACGCTTTTGACCCACTTGCGGGCCCGGCTGGCTGGCGGGTACCCCCCATTTTACTATATTTTTATTTTTATTTCTTTTTCTTCATTTATCTCAAAAGTAAGATTGTAAAAATCATATAAATTTGTATAAAATCACATAATTAGCCAAAAATTCACGTTAATCAACTAAAAACCACTTTTCACACTTTAACACAAATATAAGTCTATTTATCATGAGTTAAGGCTAAAAATATATTATTTATTAATTATTAACTCATGATAATGAAGACTTATCAAGCTCTAATTCTATCAACTTGCTCTTCTATTTTTTATCCCATGTAGGTAGCTTTTTAGTAGATAGCTTCTTTTTTTTTCATCCTAGCCTCACATGTGGAATCTCCATAGGACCATTGAGAAAGCCCTCTTTGTTGTGCATGTCTTCTAGGCTTCAATCTACATGGTTGAGAAACATGTAAATATGTCGCAAGCCTTATTGATTCAATCTCACATGTGGAAACCAAGGCATGAAACCAATCCTTAGCTTTATCTTTAAGTGTGAAGGGAAATAATCTCACCTTCACTATCTCAATGAGAATGTTGGGATAGTACGAAATCTCACAAACTTGTGAGAAATCTTTCAAATGTTTATATGGCTCTTCATGAGCTATCCCATGAAAATGTGATAACATTTGGACAAGATGATGATCAACTCTAAAGTTGACATCATTCCCTATAGGAGCATTGATTCTATTCACTAGTCTATATTGTAAAGGAGCTGAATGATCTCTAAGATGCATTCTTCTATTTTTCCTTTGATTTACTTCCATTTTTCTTTCTTTTTCCAAGGTCACTTCTACTTGTGATGATTCTCATAACTCTTTTGTTGGTGGAATGACTCTGTCCTTCTGGGATCTATATCCTTGCATTTGCTTACTTCTAGTTTTGCTAATTCGTTCTACTCTATCTACTTATTACTATAATAGTCTTATATACCTTGACTTGCAAGACATGTATACAAAATCCTCAATGATCACAATGAATAAAATTGCATGAAAATATTCAAAATTAACTATTTCTAGAAGATAGATGTACTCTTTATAAGAAATCTGAACTGAGAAATAACATGCAACTTTCATATATATTGATCATGCCAAGAATTGGCTAGTCTAGAATAATAATTTATGTCCTTATTTTCAAGGTGGCCTCTTTGACTCTTCTGAAAAAATTCGGAACTTACTAGATTTTTAAAACAGAACTTCCAATAGAAATATCTTAGCCACCAAAACTAACAAGCAGAATTTTATCCAATCATTCCACAGTTATGTAGCAATATGATTGATCAAAGTTTCAGAAAAAACAGCTAATGCAAAAAAACATGTCACAATTTTAAAATCGAATTTTGAGATTTCTATTTGTTTTGAGGCTAATTTTTCTGCCTACTTTCCCTTGCCTCGCCTTCTAACAATAGTTGTTTAGTGTGACTATTAATATAAGTCACAACACAAAATAGAGGTTAGGCAATTAATTTCAATTATGTTTGTACATTAATATCCTTAATCAGTCCTGCAAGTTAGATTTTAAATATTTGTAAGCACACACTATAACTATTTTGAGTAATTCACCTTTTATCAAGATAAAGAAAATAGTTAAAATTTCAAATATATTCAATTCACTGAATTATAAAAAAACTGTATGAAAATAAACCTTTTATCTTTGAAGTTGATTTTGCTCAAATAAACCTGTCACATTCAACAAAGAAAGTTAAATGACTCGGTAGTTATAGTTCAAGTCAATTTCTCTTAAATTCTTTTCAAATTTGCTCAATATGTCTGCAAAAATTTCTTCAAAGTTCACTTACCTTGTTCTTTAGAATCTCTCTAAATAATTGACTAGCATCCATGTCACCTTATCTTCTGCAGATAAAACTCAAGAAACTAAAAACATCTTCATTAAAAATAGCATATAGAAAATCATTCAGTGCTCAAAACTCCTCGGCAACAATGCAATTTGATCAGTTAGATTTTCTACAGGTGTTGTTAGTCCTTAATCTCCTCAATCAAAAATATTATGAGTTATAATTTGATTCGTGAAATACTCGTAGATAGCAACGAGTCAGGTCCTCTCCTCAGGGAATTTGAGGCTTACTATTTAATGCTCGTTCTAATGAAGGATAGAATGGAAAAGAAAATGAGGGGTCGTGAACTAAAAAGAGAGAAGAAGAGGAAACAATGAATCCAAATCCAATTTCTCAGATCTGGCCAGTGTAAGAATGGCAATCGATTGTTCATGACTTCTACTCCTAAATTCCTAACTAAAATCTAATCTAAACTAAATAGAACTTTCTTCATTTTGAAACTAACCTAGTGTCACTACACGTCCTTCCTTACTTCCGCTAGAAAGAGGCGTTCACTCAAAGCAGCGAGTGAGACCTCGTTCAGGTAAGATGAGGAGCTCTCTGAATTTACACACCTACATTCACAAGATGTGGAGCTTGGAAAACCCTAAATCCTCTAGGTAGGCTGAATTGCCAAAGGTTTTCTTAATCAAAAAGTTGTTCATGACATAAGTTTTTCCCAAATGTATAGGGTGGTGTTTCCTCTCTCTCCTCTCTCGCTTGCCTCTCTCACACGTGAGAGAAACTGCCTAAAGGTTCTGGTGGCTTCTTCCCCCACAAGGCTACACTCTGTTAGATCAGTTGACTCCCTTCTTGTGAGCTCACTCCTAAGCCATTAGATCCTTCTCTCGCCAAAAGGCTGCCTCCTCACTCTCGTGAGTGACGGTTGGACTACTGTATAACAGTCGTTGATGAAGTGGCTATGACCTAAGGCATAAATTCTTAAACTTGCTAGAGCACAATTAGCAAAATCACAAAAGTATATTCAATGTCTAAAATAATCTGGTTTCATCAGACACCCAAATGTGCATGAGGAGATTAATCTCATAAAATTCTAAGAAATATTTAAAATATTACTATATCTTGAAACATGTTAAAAATTATATTTATTAATGTAAATAACATATTAATAATATCATATAAATATAAAATTAACTAAGTTAAGGTGTATTCTAGCACATTATTCATGTGTTATTGACGTGACTTAGTCGTTGTATATTAAATCATGCAAATATTAAATTTATAAAACTAGAAAATACAATTTTTTAGATATTTAGAAGTATTTCTGAACAAATATATCAATTATAATTCAATAAAACTTCCCAAAAATAGTGATAATTTTTCAAGTCGATTATAGGGATGTAATATAATATCTGGTAATTATTCAGAATTTTTCTCAAAGAATACTATTTTATATGAATTTTATACTAAGAAATGAAAAGGAAATATATTTAAAATTCACAAAAAAAGGGAAATAAGGGTGCGGACGTCAGGATGATGTCAGCACCCGGCAAACGCGAATCGGGCGGAAACAGAGTTCCACCCAGCGATTCTTACGTAAGCGATTACATACGATTTAATTGATCAAATTAAGATCTGTAAAAGCTAGAAGAATCATAAGTGAACGAAGTATATTTTGGTAAATTCAAATCACATAAATTATCACTAAATGAAGCACAAAGTAAGTTGAAAGCAGGAAAATAGAGTTCCGGCGTCGCGGCGGTGATGCGTTGGCGATGCACTGGAATCCTGAGCGTTCAGGAGGATAGTCATGCAGTGTCCACGGCCTCGAAGGCTCTCCTTGAACAAGGATGATGTGGGCAATCTCTAGATCTCCTAGCGAAGTCTAGAGATTAATGAAATGGGTTGTCGAGTTGTCTCTAGCGGCTGTCACCCGACGGAGCGGAAAAACGATGACTTTGCGGCTCTTCGGCGGCTGTCACCCGACGAAGAGGAGCTAGATGGAGGTGGGGCGCATGTCAGGGAGCTTCATCCTCAGGTCCGCGCAGCAAGAGGAGGCTCTTCATCGCATCTGGTACGCTCTCAGGAGGTGGCGACTCGTCTCCCGGTGGATCGTCCTCTTCCCGACGACGGCTTGTTCGTCGATCAATCGGAGATGATTTACTCGATGAATTTGCGATCCTTTTATCGCAAATCCTTCAGCAATTTTAGTAACAATGCTCCGCGAATCGCGTTGACGAGATTTTCGCCGATGATCCAGCGATTCTAGTTGCTTAATCCTTCACCGGCGATCTGCAGGAAAGTCGCGATAATCAAATAAAAATATGAGTTTTGGCTTTGGGAGGATTCGAACCCGCACCAGATGCCCCCCCTTTCTAGGGAAGGTGATGCGGGTTTAGTCCCACATCGGTTGTGCACCAAAGTTTCTTGTGAATATAAAGTAATATTAGATTCGCGATCAAGCGCGCGTGTACGACCACTCTTTACCCCACAGTCGGCTGGCCACCAGTGACGCGGAAGGGGAGTGGCACACACGTGCCCACATCATCGGTTCAAGCTGCTCAAGCCCCTGCTTACGACTACTCCCCGACTGCGCTTCCGACCCGCTTGCGGGCCCGGCTGACCGGCGGGTCCCCCCATTTTGCAATATTTTTAGTTTTGTTTCTTTTTCTTCATTTATCTCAAAAGTAAGACTGTAAAAATCATATAAATTCGTATAAAATCACATAATTACCCAAAAAATCACATTAATGAACTGAAAACCACTTTTCACACTTTAACACAAATATAAGTCTATTTATCATGAGTTAAGGCTAAAATTATATTATTTACTAATTATTAACTCATGATAATGAAGACTTATCACACCCCCCAACTTAAAACATTGCTAGTCCCTTAGCAATGGAATTACGAAAATAAAAATTTACAAATCTCAAACATCATATTTCAATACATAAAAAAAAATACAATTAGAAATGATGCACCTTTAGACACTTTGGACTCTTATATCAAGTATTTAAGAATGATGTCAAGCACTTAAATGTTTAAGCACTCCTTAGAATAACAATCTAGACTTCACTTCTTCTATTCACATCTTTATCACTTCTTCACTCATAGATATATTTACAAGATGTTCCAATTATCAATAATCATCCAAGAATAATATTGATCCTACATTTCCCTTTTTCCATGGCTTGATTTTTGAAGTTTGCACTATATTTCTTCCTTCTTTTATAGTGGATAAGTAGCTTTTCTTGTAGACAAATTTCGACAATGAGAATGATGTCTCACAACCTCCATGTGTATTCTTAATTTTCAGGACTTTCACTTTATCTACTTATTTTGCAGAAGGTGTTTTTCTATACATGATTTTCGACAATGAGAATAATGTCTCACACCCTCCATGTGTACTCTTCGTTTTTAGATTTTTAACATTGTTCTCTCTCTTTTTTTTTCGAAATAAGTGATTTCTCCTCACAAGTCCTATAGATCTGAGTGCAAAAATCTCTATTAAACTCAAATGATCAATCAAATTTTCAAATCAAGTAAATACTATCCATCAAGATCATGAAGTGAAAATCTGTAAAATCAAATTCATGTTATCTATCATGTATCCAAGGAGTATTCCAACATTTCATACTACCAGATCATTCTTTTGACTCAATAATAATCTTCCTAGTATCTTTTGATATCAATCAATCTAATTGATTTAATTTTTCATGCATGCAATATGATGTAAGAAATTTGTAAATTAGATAGTTCTGACAGTTCAGTTTTCTGTTTTCAGTTCTGTTTTTAGCAATAATAAATTTGTCAAAAATAAATCAAAACTATCCTCTTTATAACTGTAATTTCAAATTTTAGTAATATATGTCTAGGGGATTGAAATGTGAGAAAAATGTCTCTAGAATTTCAAATTTTGGGCTATTTTTTGTCTGTTGTTCATGATAGAAAACCAGAAAATAGATGTTGCAGTTTTTCTGAATTTTAGTTTATTTTTTATTTTTTCAATTGCTGTTCTAATGCAAACACATGTTCTTAATCGTCCTATAGCATAAATTAATAATGAATACTTCACCCCCCAACTTAAAAATGACATTGTCCTCAATGACACAGAAAACTCGAAATAGAATATGCAAAAAATATAATTTTCAAGTGAAGCATGCATATATGCAAAGTTAAGCATTAAAAATGTTGTCATAAATGATAAAGCTCCGAAAGACATCACCTCAACCTCGTTTTTAATTTTCCACTTCGTCTTACACTCCTCCTCCTACACTTTTTTGAAAAAACAAATACAAAAACAAGTACTGCAAAATTCTAAGAAAAATAGAGCTTAAAAAAATCAAACAAAATGAAATAAAAACCATGGGTTGCCTCCTATGCAGCACTGAATTTAATGTCTTCAGTTAGACAGCTCTTAGATCATATAAGATGATCTATAGCCATCAAAATATATTTGTATCCCAAGGTAAGTTTCATGATATTCTTTTTCAGATTTAGCATAAATTCATATACTTCATATATATATCTTGACATACTTTCAGCCAAAACAAAATGGAAATTAACAAAATTCTCCCAAAAATAATATTTCCATTTTGAAAAGAATCTTTCCTCATTTCTATCTTGTTTTGTAAGGCTCTCATTCATTAATAAATACTTTCTATTAATAGACCATAAAATGTGATCAGGCCATATAATTTTCAAATTAGCTCTTACCCAATCTAGAATTTTTTCATCTAAATTGATATCTCTAATTCTTTCACTCACCCATTTCTTAATGTGTTCTTTTATCTGCATAATCTTCTCCTGCTCTGTTTTATCTTCCATACATATTTGTTCAATTTGTGAGGAGTGAAATATTTCAAGCTTAGAAATAATTCTAATGGGCTGTGGGTTTTGAAGGATGGAAGGATTGTCTTCTTTAATCTCATATCTAATGAATTCAGTAAAATTTAAATTTTCTCCTCCAAAATTATCTCTATATTCATATTCATTATTTTCGTTTCTCCCCATTAGTTGAATCAACTCTTTTTCTAGCTTTTCGTTTCTCAACTCATCAAATTCTTCATCTTCTCAAGAGCTATCTTTTAATTTCGGTATATGATATACATCATCATCAACATCCATGGCTGCAAAATTATGATTAGATTTATTAATTTCATCTCCTACATATCCCAAATCAACTGATTTTTCCTCACCTGAAATATGTTTTTCTTCATTTGTGTCCTTACTCCCTTCTATTAAAATTTGGATGATTTTTCCATGATCAGCTGTTGTTTCTTCATCTAAGGGCTCTTTCTCCTCATCATCCTCACTATATTCATTCATCAATTGTGAGCAATAAATAATTTTATTCAAATTTTCTGCTACTATATTTTCAGCCTTAATATTCTCATTTACTTCTAATGGCTCATCAATTTCTTCTAATAATTGGAAATAAAGATCAGGTAAAATATTCTCACTCAATGTATTCACTGACCTAACATTTTCATTTCGTGGGTTTTTTTCTAAATTTATCCAACTAGACTCTCCTTGCTGAAATCTTACTGTTGGACAGTTTCTTGAATTTTCTATGGGCTGACTAGGTAGCTGTCCCTCTTCTCTCTTATTCCCAAGAGCCTCTATAATTTTTTTATGGTGCAGCGTCATTTGATTCATAGTTTGTTGCATCATTTGGCTCATTTTCTACATCATTTCTATAGTATCAAGTTGGGTTTGAGAGGGCTGATTTTTTTGAAATCTGTTTTCTTGTTTTGGACGAAATTCAGAGTTTTAATTGGATCTAAGTGCTTCTGAATTTTGAATATTATTTGGGTTTCTCCATGAAAAATTATTCCCCCAATTAGGATTATAAGAATTAGAAAAATATTCTCTATTTTTATTAAAATTGTGGGGTACCTGCACTTGTTCTTGCCTATGATGATTTTGAAATTCGAAATGATCATTTTCACCATATATACGACATGTACTATTTGAATTAAATCGAGGGTTAAGAAGCTTTCTAATATTGTCAATAAGTAAATCAAGTTTTTCTAATCTTTGATTAATCTGATTAACCTCATTTCTAAATTTAGAATCATCATCATGATGCAATTCATAAATTCCTCTCTTCTTATCTCTATCAAATAATTCAAAAGAGGCTTGATCTCTAGAATTTTCACTTAAATTCTCATAAAGACTGTAAATCTCATCAGGGGTTTTCTCCATAAAAGCTCTTCCACATATAGAATCAATCATATTTCTATGTTGTTCTAATAATCCATCATAAAAAATTCTATTGAGCTGCCACTTGGGTATAGTATGATGAGGACACTTTCTAAGTAAATATTTGAATTTTTTCCATGTCTCATGCAAAGTTTCTCCTAGTCTTTGAGAAAAACTCCATATATGTTTTCTCATATTTTGAGTTTTTCCTAAGGGATAAAATTTTCGAAGAAAGGCCTATTCTATGTCCTTCCAACTAGTTAATTCTCTATCTAATGTGGATAGCCAATGACTAGTTTTGTCCCTAAGTGTATGAGGAAATAATTTCATCTTAATAACTTCTGGTATAACTTGAAGGAGATTAACTAAATCACAAACTATATGAAATTTTTCTAAGTGCTGATGAGGTTCCTCTAAAGGTAATCCATGAAAATTAGGGAGCATTTGAAAAATTCTTGGATTTATTTCGAATTTAATAGTGGGTGCTAATGGGACTCTAATATTTGATGCTCTTTGAAATGAATAAGGGATATAATGATTTTTTATGGCCATAGGATTGTTCTCAGTTTGACTTGTACTTCCTTCAGGATTCATCAAAATTAATTTTTCTTTCGGATTTTTAGTTTTGAATGAAATAATGAAAAGATTTTCTAGCCTTGGATGCAAGGATCTTCTATCATGCATAAAAAATCAATAAATTCGAGAGAAAAGTTTAGTAATTGTTACCCTCCTTCAATATGCTCCAGTCCTTGCCTTGCTTCTTTCGTTCCTTATTCTAAAAAAAAAATCGGCAAGAAAAAAAATAAAACAAGAGTTAATTTTTTTTTTGTGTACTCTAAGAGAAAAATAGAAAAATACTAAATATTATGCAATACATCCCCAGCAACGGCACAAAAATTTGATGTGACTTAGTCGTTGTATATTAAATCATGGAAATATTAAATTTATAAAACTAGAAAAAATGATTTTTTGGATATTTAAATGTATTTCTGAACAAATATATCAATTATAATTCAATAAAATTCCAAAACATAGTGATAATTTTCCAAGTCGATCATAGGGATGTAATATAATATCTGGTAATTATTCAGAATTTTTCTCAAAGAATACTATTTTATATGAATTTTATACTAAGAAATGAAAAGGAAATATATTTAAAATTCACGAAAAAGGGAAATAAGGGTGCGGACGTCAGGATGACGTCAGCACCTGGCGAACACAAATCGGGCGGAAACAGAGTTCCACCCGGCGATTCTTACGTAAGCGATTACCGACGATTTAATTGATCAAATTAAGATTTATAAAAGCCGGAAGAATCGTAAGTGAACAAAATATATT